TGCTTGATTGTATTAGACCATGATATCACTTATCAAATTAATTACGCGAAGTATTGTTAATTTAAATGTAAATTTACAAGTTCGTAATCCTGAGATCACAAGCCTGAATACCAGTTTCTTGAATCAACTGCAAACTTTTTTTTACTACTGTATAGGGCCGTGTTCATCGCCTGTCATAATTCAGGACTTGCGATATTTGTATTAATTAGTGAAAATATTGTATACATTGCAAGAAGCTAAGTATTTAAAGAAATTTTAAGTTTTATTAGTACATTATCACTTACGCCAACGGAAGATGCCAACTATTGAACAAACCCCTCCTCCTTAACACATTTTGTCATTAGCATCCCGTTCCCCGCGCCTCTTACGATGTCGTCCGTCCACCAAGTTGGAGGCCTTCCAACGCTACCTTTTCCGGTTCGTAGTCACTCGAGAACTTTTCCCTATCAGCAGGTACTTGTATTTACATAATATAATATAATTTAGCTGCACAGTTTTCTTTCAATTGCAAATTCAAATTAAAATATCTTTATTAGATAGAGGAGCATTACATTTACTTATAAATGATGGTCAAAACCTGATAAGAACGGACGAAATAAACTCAGGGTCATTTTTTACCAAGATATCTATTAGTAAAACGGAAACCTAATATCAGCATATATGATGTGGTTACAGACAACATCATTTCGCTATTACATTGATTTATTTTAATAAAGTAATTATAAATAAAAAAATAAAAGATTTAATTGGCTTATGTTTCAACAAGCTGATTGCTGTTGCATGCAGTCTTGGGATCCCCTAACGAGACAAATATTGTTTTATCCAAAAATAGCCAGCGCAGTAAAGGGTGTACTTTTTGTACGTCATTTTCATGTTTCATCTATCCCACAGGAAATATTTCCAAGCGCGAAAGTCATTTATAATAAAAATGAAACAAAAACTGACGTGAAAATTTTTTGCTACAATTTCAAAATTCCGCTTGTTAATTGGACCCTGAGAGACTTCCCCGCGACACGTTCATTATATCGGCGTATATTGGCTCATTCCAACTATAGTTTTCGTAACGTATATAAAAAGTGAATTTAGCATGCACATGTTCATGCACATTACATCATCATTATCTGTGCAGCGTTCAATATTTTCACCCACTATTAGGCCCCCTTCAAAATCTGTGGATCAAACAATCAAATGAACTCTACGGATAAGTGGTTTTCAGCTTCAAAGGTGGTTGATACTACGTAAACTTTTGAACTGGCCACTCCGTTAGAATAAGTGATTGTGAGATCTCATTCAGTTATTAAACAGCAATTTGAATTTGCAAAAGAAAAGGTTTTTTTCATTGGGCACCTTTCCCTAAGAGATAATTTCACAATATTAGCCCTGCGTAGAGTACTCCATTCATTTAGCGTGATCTTTTCGGTCACCCGAGTGGCTCTTTGTTCTGGCCATTTGGGCTATGCTGAAGCTATTCACGACGCTCGCCAGCGTCGAGATCAACAAAAGGGGCTTTAACGGACCAGTATTACCTAGTGTAATTGTAAAATCGGGAGGATTAGTGTTATTATCAATCACAATGGTTTCTATTTTCGAATTCAATCAGGGAATTTTTATTCGTAATTTCTTGGCATATTTAAAAATTGTCATAATTTAACAAACCATAAAGATACCATTAATTATACAAATACAGCTTAATAATATCCTCAATAAAGAATGTAATAGGTAGAAAACAAACAGTGCTAAAAAGCAGTACAATATTGAACACGTTGTGGAACAAATAATCTTCATGTTAAGGTTTTTTTTTTCTTTGTTTTCCGTTTTTATTACGATTTCCACAGCGGCGACAATCTTTTCGTACTTTTTCTACATGTTTTAATGTTCAATCTTAAGTGCAGAGATTAGCACTATAAAAAAAAACTTATAATCAAGCAGAGATGTCTGTTTTGTTAGCATGTTCTCTTAATTGGCGTGAAAGATTATTTTATACTTATATGTATTTATAAGCTCGTACATGTATTGTATTCGTTAAATGACAAAAATAGAATAAAACATATTAACTGTCCTTAAAACTATTAAGGAGTATGTCTGTTCGACTTTTATTGCATATTTTGAATACGGTTAAAAAATGCGGAGTGGGGTGCATAATCAGTTAAATCCAAGACACGGCTTTTACTAAGTAAACTTTTGAAATAATGCAAAAAAAAATGTTTTATCGAACAAACTGCGGTACGGCCACGCAACAGTATTCGCTGTGTCCCTCTTTATGAAATGGTGGCAACGACTCTGCAACCCTACGCGTGTTGCTAATATCCATGGGCGGCGGTTCTCATTTAACATAGAAAAAACTTTACTTCAATATAACATGACTAATTTTTACATTAATGTTGGCGCTGGCAACACTTTATACCGAATATGATGTTATCTACTCGAGCGAAGGGACACATGGTCGCATGCAGCAGCGGTCACTTGGATTCCGGCAGCGTTCCCGGACGGTGATATAACCACTAGTGCTCCTTGTCGGTATAATAATTATTAATATTAAAGTTCAGTAATAGTTAAAATATTAGAATCAAGGTAAAAACGTTAGAACTTTTATATTAATTATAATAATACTGTTTCGTTTAATAATGTTCGCTTTTTTCAGTATTCGACAACAAAAAAAATGGGTGGTATCTCTACTGATTACTTAATTTTTCTATGTAACATTCTATAACAGACATAAACGACAGATGAAATTATGAAGGTCATTACGGTTACCGTTTAATAACTCTATCTAAATGAAAATCGAACCCCTACAAATTTCGACCTCCGTACGAAATGAACATCTGCGTGCGCCATTTGTCTTATCGGGACCGAATATTGAGACGCATAAATCAACGCGTATTGTCATGCGAAAGTATGCGAAGGGCCAGCAATAATAAAGATTTATTTCAATGATAGCCGTGTTTTCAGTATTTATGTTGTGCTTATTCCATTTTTAAGTTATTGCATAGCTTTTATCGCGGCGACTGAATTAAGAAATTCCGTAACAACAAAAATAAAACCTGACACCCCAACTCCGCTTACCATGTAGCTCGGCCGAGCGTTCGCTTAACGTGTATGTATATGGTACGACTGTACGAAGCTCGCACGGATCTTTATTATAATATTATACTATCATATGATGATATGATATTTGGAAGATATCAAGTCTCAAACTTATGTTTCTTATTTCAGTTATCATAAACCTAAAGTTTCATTGACAAAAATTCCTGAAAAATTCCGCATGTAGGTAAATGTGTACATTACGGTGGTAGAGCCACGCAACAGTGTTGCACGAATGGGCAGATCCGTCCGGGTTAGTATCACGACCTTACAGAAGACCGGCGTAAAGTAGAAGTGTTGCACTTCTGCTTTTCGTCTGGTGAGTCATGTAGCCGGGGCCCACATTATTAAGAGGTGGCAACGCATCTGCAACCCTACGGGTTTTGCAAATGTCCATGGGCAGTAATCACTTAACATCAGGAGAATCGCCAGCTCGTTTGCCATTTCCTCACATAAAAAAAATGTATTGTAAGATAATAAAAATATTTTGAACTATATTAACTTCACATTTATTCAATAAAAGAAAAAAAATGTTTCCTTATCGGTCACCACGCTCTAAAAGTGTAACTTGAATTAATATAAAAGAAAAAAAATGCTGCATAAATAAAAAAATAATTATAATTGGATAATTTGATAAAAAATCCCATGCAATAGCTTTACGGCAGCAGTCCTCGAGAGCCACTGTTGTTAGTAAAATACATTGCCCGTACTTTAGGATAATATTATCCCGTGTTGAAAGGACGTTTTACAAACATAAATTTCACCCGGACAAACACCCAGATGCGAAACAACTATCTGTGGGTCACCCAAATAGCTGTTCCGTGTGGGGATCGAACCCACGACCCCCGACGCCGGAGCCAAAACCCTGGCAACTGCGCCACGGAGTCAAAAAGAAATTAGGTTACAAGGCCTAGTGCTTTTTAAGCTTTGATGGTATGCTGAGATAAGCAGCGTTGTCTATTATTGTTGTTTATATCAACTATGTCGGGTTAATTTTGAGTATAACAGTGAGTTGAATAATCCAAAAAACTTATTGATATTATAACCTGCAAAGAGTAAATGTGATAGAATATGTGATGTGAATAGTGCAAACTAATTGCAGCATATATAAAATCTTGACTGACCTGTTAGTAATTTTTTAACAGTAGCTATTATTAAAACGGAAAATTTGGTGCACTCACAAATTATTTGGGAAACCTTTACTACCTAATCTTCTAATTAGTGCTGTTTCAAAAAACGTTACTAACAATTAAGTAATTAGTTTTATTTAATACTAATGCTAAACATTTATGTGCAGTAAGACACAGAACACATAGATGAACCTAGACGCACAACAGCATGGAACTTGCGAAAGCGCCTTGACGTCTACCCAGTTCGACGCCTGCAGACAAAATGAGACTCATCGGCACACCTGTGCACGCTACGGCTAGTAGTGGGGCTTCTAGTAAGCACACTCGCTGTCAGTCGACGCCAAACCTCCGTCCTGCGTTGAGCTCCGCTCCGCGACGTCGAGTGGCTAGACATTAGCGGCGTGTACAGTCTGTGACACAGTGCGACAGGACGCTTTATAGAACAGTTTTTAAAATCAGTGTTTGTGCGCGTAAAGTGATCTTCGCAGTTTTAACCGGTTTTAATCGATATTCGGGCCTCTTTTATTATAAAAGGGGCCGAATATGGTGCAAAGGTGAAGAACAAAGACATTCCACCGGGACACTAGCACAAATGTGCATATTTTAATTAGTGTAGAGTCAGTGGCCTACGGCGGATACGGGAAAAATCCCCCGTCCGTCGACTTCCACGTCGAAGACCGCGCCCAAGCCCGTTAAGGCTAAGGCGCAAGCGCGGCCCGCGAGAGTCCGCAGCACATCTGCCCCCGAGCACGAGAACGAGCCCGAGGTGAGTAAAAGACCCGTTACTCAGCGCCAGGCGGAGCGCGTTGCGACCGCGGCTGATGAGTCGGCGCGATTACACGCCAGGCTCATCACCACCACTCCGTTGTAACCGCGCCCGCCGAAGAGCGCTATACCTCGCACTTCCCCCGACGATTCAGATCGGGAGGAAAAGATTCCCAGGCGGGGCCCGACCCCTGCGCAACCAATGGACAGCGCCGCCACCCCTCCGGCCGCGATGCACGTCCACGACGAACCACCACTTTCCCCGGACGACGAACCGCAGCCGGGGCCCAGCACGAGCGGCACGTCTATGCGGCAATATCTCGGCGCGGAAAGTAGCGGGGCTGCGACCGATTCAACGTCATATGCGACGTTGGCCCCCGAGGTGGGGGAACGGTCCAGCCCTTTTTTTTTTTTTTTTTTTTTTTGTGGGAAAAATCCTTTATGGATCCCCTGCCACTGGATGGCAGAAGTGGCAGGGGTATGTGGGAGTCCCGTTAAAAACGGTTACCCACTAAAAAACCCACGTTGCACCTGTCTCTGTCGCATCAGCCGGGGACACGGGAACACGTGAACGCAATCTTCCGCGACCCCGGCGCGACTATGGTCCGTTTACGCTTCCTCTACTACATAGTGCTGTGCCCGTGCAATTGGCACGCACACGAGCCCCATATTGAGCGACAGACACTCCCATGTCTGCCGCTCAGGGTCTCACCATCAGGGGGGAAGGTTGCGCGCGTAGGCCAGCCTCCTGCGCCCTGGTCTCCGGCGGCGAATTTCCAGGGTGGCAGTTGCCTCCCTTTCCCTCTCCGCGGCCTCCTTCCGGGTGATAACGTCCTCGCAGTATGAGAGGACAGCACCCCACGCCCTCTCGCTGTCAACCATAGCGCGAACCACGGCTGGTAGCGAGAGGTCGTGCTCCACGATAGCGTACAGCTCTCGGCGCTGCTCCGTCCAGGCTGAGCACTCCTCCAGTGCGTGTTGGGCCGTCTCCTCGGCACATACGTCACAGTGGTGGCGTTCCGCTGTGGGCTCCCTCCTCGCCACGCAAAACAGGTACCTCCCTAAACAACCATGTTCCGAGAGGACCTGCGTTGCACGGTAGGTAAGGGTGCCGTGTCGCCTATCCAGCCACCTCCTGAGGACAGGACGTATGGCCTCTACGGTTCTTAGGCCGGCACTGGGGTGCTCCAGCCTCTGCTCCCACGCATCGATGGCGTTTGAGCGCAGGCGACGCATGCGCTCCTCCGACTCCTCCGGGGCCGGCATGTGGCCCTGGGATTTTGCAGCCTCGCGCCAGGAGTGCAATGACGCGAGGATCTTAGCTTCTAAATCCCAAGGCAGAAAGCCGGCCAACAGGCAAGCCGCCTCACCGGAGATGGTCCGGTAGCCCCGTATGGCCCGGATAGCCAACACCCTCTGCGGTTTGCCCAAAAGCGCTTGGGTCCGACGCTTCAGGGTGTCAGCCCAAACAGGAGCTCCGTACAGGGCCATGGATCGCACGACTCCGGCGTATAAGCGACGACAGGAGTCGTTGGGGCCGCCAACGTTCGGGAGCAGCCTACCGAGAGCTGCCGCTGCTTTCGCCACTTTGGGAGCCAGTCGCTCGAAGTGGGCCCGGAAATCCCATCGGCGATCTAAAACTAGGCCTAGATACCTTATCGTAGGTGCTACGTCGACACGGACCCCACACACAATAATGTGAGCGTCCGCAGGTGGCGCATTCCGGGCTCCATAAAAACATAGAGGCTCGGATTTATTCAGCGCCACCTCTAGCCCTAGTCGCCGAATGCGTCCCACTACCTGAGCCACTCCCGCAGTGGCGAGAATAGCGGCCCGGTGAAAGTTTGTGCCACGAGCGGTCACAAGGGTGTCATCAGCGTAACAAAACACCTCGACACCCCTGAGATAGGCACCACGTAGCACCCAGTCATAGCATAAGTTCCACAGGAGTGGCCCTAACACCGACCCCTGTGGAACACCGCACGTCACCTCGATGGTTCGATGCCCGTCTTGGCACGGAAACTCTACACGGCGATGCGACAAGTAAGCGTCGATGGTACGGCGCAGGTAGAGGGGCACTCCATGGAACCGGAGCGCCTCCCTAATGCAAGCCCAGGGCAAGGGATTTTGCACCCACGCCACAGATTTTGCATTGAGATTCCCAGCGACTAGCACGGGGTAGGGATTCAGTTGCCGGAGCATTGATCCCAGTCGGTCAAGGTAGCTCTCAAATTCGGCCAGCGTCCTATTTGGAGAAAAGTACACCGAAACGATGAAAATTTCTCCCAACAGAGCGGCCACGAAGCCCTGACCTTTTCTCACGTTACCGAGAGGAGGAGAACCCGCAGCAGTACTGCAAACCATCGCCACAGTGCCGGAGTGATCCCCAGCCCAGTTTTCGCTAGGGGGGGATGAAGTACGGCTCCGACACCAGGGCAACCTGAATCATCCACTGTGCCATGCTTTGCAGTAGAAGGTCCTGGGCTCTGGCACAGTGATTGAGGTTCGCCTGCAAGAAATTTCGGGTGGGCATAAACTACTGAATAGTCATTGGAGTCCCCTCCTCCCTCGCATCGTCAACATGCTGGTGGGATGTTTGCGACTGGACTGGTGCTCTAGTAACACTCCCCCGTCGCCTCCTCTTTTCAAGCTTGTTCGCCATGCATGCCTTACCTCCTACTGTGTGGCCAGCGGGCTTATTCGAAGCGGCACACACTAGACAATAGGGGGCCGCGAAGCACTGACTAGAAATGTGACCCAGCTGTCCGCAACGAAAGCACGTGCTGCTGCGATCGACCGTCGCAGTGCACTGTTCCCGAACGTGTCCCGTTCCTAGGCACCGGTAGCACCGCAGAGCTTCGCGGCAGCAGCTTGATCCGCACCGAGGACCAGCCGATTAAGAGACGGCCGGTTTCTGCAATCTTTCCGGCTGCACCAACAGGGCAACCAACCAATATCGTGCCCAGTCCAGATCGGTCCCGGCGAATTTCGCTTACCTTGATGGAGGCTGCTTGGCACTCGCCAGCCTGTGCTATAGCTTCAGCAACCTCAACTTTTTCCACGGAGTCATCCAGGCCTGAGATGCGTAAATCTGCGCATTTTTCTGGCCTGGAAACTGTGGCGATCTCTTGACTGACCACCTGACGAAGCTTTTCAGCTAAGTTAGCAAAAGCCGAGTGCACTTGGCAAACACACCGCGTGAGTCACACTGTCCCCTTTCGGGAACTTCCTTTCATACATCACGCAAACACTCAACCTGATTCCCCTTACCCCCCAAAACACACATCTTCCATACATCTCGCACATTCCCCCCCCTTGTTGCATCCCCTGTCCCCTCTCACTAGAGAGGGATACTGGGAGCAGCGAAGGCCCGCCTTGCAGGCTTGCCTCCTAGGACATCGAGTCCTTGGACGTCCATGAGTCCTGAAAAGGACTTACAGAACGCCCCCCCCCCCCCCCCCCCCCCCCATTGCCAGTTTTGGTCCGCGCCGGTTTCCCGGTATCACCCAAATTTGGATGATATTCCCCTATCCGCCACCTAGGGACGCGCCCGATGGGAGATCTGGCAACTCGCATTCTTGACGTCCGCTGCACCATCTCCGAGCGCCGCCACACCCGGTACTTCTAGGCAGCCCACGCAGCCCACACCCACGCCCAAACCAATGGAGGAGGACGCCAAGGGCTACCCTCTTATCATAGTCGAGTGCTTCCCCGACTGGACGAAGCACTTCGCCGAGCTGACAAAACAGCTCGGCCACGCCCCGAACGCCCGATCTTTTGGGCGTGGTATGAGGTTTCGGCCCCAATCAGCATCTGAATTCCGCATCATCCAGCGGTACCTAGTGGAGGAGTCACAAAAGGACTCAACATTCGTGTGGTATTGCTACACGCCCACGGACGACCTACCCACGAAAGTGGGCATACGCGGCCTTCCGGCCAACACATCACCGGAGGAAGTGGTCGCTGACTTCTGTCAAAAGGGCTTCCCGGCCACCTACTCCAGGGCAATCCAGCCCAGAAGAGGCAGACCGGCGCCCTGTTCTTCCTAAAGCTCGACCATCTGAGCAAAGAGCAGCTGGCCCAAATTTATGCGGTCAACGAGGTGCTCAACATGCCAGGCATTACCATCGAAGCCTGGCATAGTAGAGGAGGCCCGGCACAGTGTCACCGGTGTCAGGCCTTCGGACACTCCTCCACCAACTGTCACCGACCACTGCGGTGCGTTCGGTGCTCAGGTGAGCACCCCCAACAAGGGCAAAAAACCTAAATGCGCCAACTGCGCCAAGGCCCACTCGGCCAACGACCCTAAATGTGCCATCCTGCAAAGGGTGGCCAAGAAGAAGGGGATTAAACTCCCCCCACCATATCCACCTACCGAGCACGACGGCGCGGCAAACTGAGGAGCGACAAGTCGGTGCCCAAGAAGCACCCCGCCCAACTCAGCATCAACCTACCGTGGAGCTGCACGAACCTGTAGCTCCAGCCCACCTAATGGCTCCAACCAACGAGCCCACACTGCGGCAGGAAACTGCCGCCAAGAAGAAGAGGAGGAGGGTGAAAAAGAAGAAGAGCGTCACCCAGCAGCCATCGGCAGCCGCAGCGTCAACGCCTTTACCACCCGCCCCCTCTCAACCCACCTCGTCAGCCTCCCGAAGGCAGGCACCGGCTGCAACTATAAGCAGCCAAGCCACCCACTTCACTCAGCCGTCCGAGCGGCCTCTAAATTTTCTTCTCCCACAAGGAAAAACCCTCTCAACCGCAGCCGACCACACACAAACGGCTCAGCGAATCGAGGGGGCCATCTCTCATTTGATCAGGCTGATCACCGGCATTCTTGGTGACGTCCTTGTCTCTATTGCCGTAGGCAATGACCCTTTGGAGGCGGTATCATCCGCCATCTCATCCTTAACCGCGGTTCGCAGAGACCCCCCTCCACCTTAAAATCCTTTATTGGAATCCCGGCGGCATCAGGGGGCGCATAGCCGAGCTTAAAAATCTCGTCAGGCTGCATGGCATTCATGTCGTGCTGCTTGGCGAGACTAAGCTCACGGCTACTGACACGCTGCGCATCCCCAACTTCGCCGTGCATCGTTTTGACGAGGTCAATCCTGACTCCGGTCGCCCCTTTAGGGGCGTCGCCATTCTTGTCAGGAGCGACCTAATGCACGGCGAGTTGGGGCTGGGCAGTTTTGTCAGTACACGCTCCATTGGCGTAGCCGTTTTCATCGGCGGCCCCCAACTACTAAATTCCATAGCGCGGACATCCGCAGTATTTTTAATTCAGAAGTCCCCACTCTTATAGCTGGGGACCTAAACGCTAAACATGCGTGGGGCGGCGGTCAACAAACCGGCGTGGGGGTCGCGCATCATCTCTCCCGCAGGCAGAGCGCTCTTTGATGACGCAGGGGCGAATGGGTATGAAGTGCTCGGTCCGAACGAGCCAACACATATCCCATCCGCCCCGCAACATCTTCCCGACGTCTTGGACATAGTGCTGTGTCATAAAATGTCGCGTCCCATACAGGTAGAGGTAATTTACGATGCCGATACTAATCATCCTCCTTTATTAGTAACCGTGAGCATTGGTGCGGACTCTTTGGTTCCGAGGTGCCCCAAGTTCAGAACCGACTGGGTGGCCTATGGGAGAGCGATGGCCAACCTCCAGTACGGCGCGCCTATCTCATCACCGGACGATGTGGAGGTCGCCGCCCGCAGCATCTGCTGCAAGATGCAGGAGGAGCTGCAGGCGACGACGACGGAGGTGAGATATACGAGCTGGAAGGACGCGCTCCCCAATAGATTACTCAGCCGGATTCGGGAAAAGACGCAACTTCGGAAACTTTGGGCCCGCACTAGGTGTCCACAGGTAAAGTCCAATCTTAATAAGCTGACGGAGGAGCTGTCAATTGAGATTAAGAACTTCCGTGGTGTTTTGTGGGAGGAGAGGACGGAACGAGCCTCAGAATCTATGACCCCCCTACACCACCTCAATCGGCAGCTCGCCCGTATTCCACAACCCGCGTGCCCGCTTCTCGGGAGCGACGGGAGAAGGGCCGTGGCAGCCCAGGACCGGGCCGACGTCTTTGCACAGCACTTAGAGTCTCAATTCGTTCCCAATCCATCCACTCCAGAAGCCCTCCCCTTCCACCTCCAGGTAGAAGAGAGTGTACAGGAGTTTTTTATCTTTGCCAGTGCCTCAGCTGGCAGGTGACTTGTTCATCTCGCCGGCTGAGGTACGAAGGGCTGTTAGCAGACTCCCCAACCGG